TCTCTTGCAATCCAGCTCACATGCCGGTTATCTCCACCCTTCCTCCCTTCTCCACCCCGCCAGTGCCCGTAACGGAGTACAGCCTATCCAAGATCAACAAGGCAACACAAAGCCTCACCACCATCTACGGTCGCGGCAGCTTTGGCAAGGTGTACCTTGCATTGCAGCTCACATGCCAGTGGTGTCCCCTTTCCTGTCGTTGCCCCAACCATGCAGTGCCAGTAACGGAGTACAGCCTGTCAAAGATCAAGAAGGCAACACGAAACTTCACCACAATCTATGGGCGGGGAAGCTTTGGCATGGTATACCTGGCAGAGGACTTTTTCCGAGACCAGTCTGACCCGCGAGCCATCATCAAGCGAGCCCATGACCCGCAGAGTGAGTGCTATGTTTGGTGCATGCATGCGTGCATTTCTGTTCAAGTGCAAGGTGGAGGTGCTGGCGAGGGCACGGCACCGCTACCACATGAACATGTAGGGGTACTTTCGAAGCTACCGCACTGAACCCATCTAGCTTCCTTTCCACCTGTCACTTCTCCCCTCATCCTCTCCCCCTCGGAGCTGGGCGATTTCCTGTTCAAGTGCAAGGTGGAGGTGCTGGCAAGGGCACGGCACCGCTACCTCGTGAACCTGCTGGTGCGGAATCGCACTGAACCCATCTCCTTCCTACCGCTTACCCTCCTGACCCATGCCCTTCCCTCATCACAGAGCTGGGTGAATTTCTGTTCAAGTGCAAGGTGGAGGTGCTGGCAAGGGCACGGCACCGCTACCTGGTGAACCTGCTGGGGTACTGTGTGGGCAAGGGCGAGCGCATCGTCGTTTATGAGTACCTCTCTAATGGCACACTCTTCGACCGCCTACACAGTGAGTACATTCTTGTTCCTGGTGTTTTTTCTTTCTTTCTTTCTTTCTTTCTTTCTTTTATGGATGGAGCCCTCACACAAACTCTACATATCCAGCAACCTCCCCACTCCCAACCACCAGGGCCGGAGCTGGAATCACTTTGAGGCGCCTCAAAAACCCCGTCCCAACCCCACCCTGCACCCCCCAACCACCAGGGCCGGAGCTGGAATCGCTTCCTTGAAAAACGCGTGTGAGCATTGCAGTGAACGTGGCGTGTGCCTTGGAGTATCTCCACTGCACTGCACCACCCTCAACCCCTCTCTCTCCCCGTCCCAACCCCACCCTGCACCCCCCAACCGACAGGGCCGGAGCTGGAACCGCTTCCCTGGGAAACGCGTGTGAGCATAGCAGTGAACATCGCGTGTGCCTTGGAGTATCTGCATCACGGCGTGTCTCCCCCCCTCGTGCACCGCGCTGTGACCTCCTCCAACATCCTGCTCGCCCACGATATGAGCGCCAAGGTATGTAAGCCGCAGTAAACAGCAGTGAGCACAGCTGCATGCACCGTGGCTTGGCAACATTGTAGTGCCCTCAAATATGTTCATCTCACATCCCAATGTCTCCTCCCCTCGTGCACCGTGCCATGACCTCCTCCAACATCCTCCTCGCCCACGACATGAGCGCCAAGGTATGTGGGTGTTGATGCGTGGTATGGCACCTTGCAGTAACTAGAAGTGAACGTGGCGTGTGCCTTGGAGTAGGTTCATCCCATCATAGCGTGTCGCCTCCCTTGGTGCATCGTGCTGTGACCTCCTCCAACATCCTGCTCGCCCATGACATGAGCCCCAAGGTGTGTAGGGTCTGGCACAAGGTGGGGTGCAGTGAGCTGCAGTGAACGTGGCGTGACATGAGCGCCAAGGTATGCTGCACTTCATGGCCATGGTCATCTCGTGACATGAACTCATGGCCATCTCGTCCTCTCTCCCGCTATGGTCCCCTTTGGTGCGCATCGCATGCCGCCTCCCCTTCTGGTGCCGCGCATGCTCGAGGCAGCGGCGGTGCAGTGTCATCCTTTGAGGAGAATCTAAGGCGACAGCGCCAAGTTATGGGCGGTGAGGGTCGAGTTTTGAGTCGACTCAAAACACGACTCATTACGTCATCCTTGGAGGAGAATCCAAGGCGACAGTGCCAAGTTATGGGCGGTGAGGGTCGAGTTTTGAGTCGACTCAAAACACGACTCATTACGTCATCCTTGGAGGAGAATCCAAGGCGACAGCGCCAAGTTATGGGCGGGGACGAGAGGGCCAAGCGAGGGTGAAGTAGGATCATCTCAATCTTCGTCAACCGCCCTGTCTTCCCTCGTTGCGACATTCCCTGTTATTCCCCGCCACCCGCCCTTTCGTCCCCTGCTTCCCTCTCTGTAGCTGTCCGATTTCGGCATTGCTCGAGGCAGCGGCGGATCAACGTCATCCTTTGAGGAGAATCCGCGGAGGCAGCGCAAGTCGCGGGCGGGGAGGGCAGAGAGGGGGGAGGCGAGTGAGGCGAGCATGCAGATGGAGAAGGTGGACGTGTATGGGTTCGGAGTGGTGCTGCTGGAGCTCATCACGGGGCAGAAGGCCATGAAGGAGGTCCACATCACCAGCGTGGTGAGTCAGTCACGGTGCAGTGCGGTACAATGGGGTGGAGTGTGATACGTGCAGTGGGAGGCAAGCATGCAGATGGAGAAGGTGGACGTGTATGGGTCCGGTTCGACCCTCATGGTTCCATTCCATCTCCCTTTCTTTCCTTTCCCTGTTTGCTCCATCCCTGCTACCTTTCGTGTACTTTTCCTCGTCTCCCCTCAGGCCGCCCCTTTCCTGGAGAATGCCCAGATGATGCCTCTCATGGTGGACCCGCAGCTGGGCAGCTACTTCAACTCGCTTCCTTTCCCCTCACCATCTCTACCTCCCTATTTTCGTCCTCCGTATGGTCTCCCTCCTCCCCATTGTCTCCCTCCCTCCTCCCTCAGGCCGCCCCTTTCCTGGAAGATGCCCAGATGATGCCTCTCAAGGTGGACCCACAACTGGGCGGCTACTTTAAGTCGCTTCCTTTCCCTACCATCTTCACTTCCCTGTTGCTTCCTCCCCACCGTCTCCCTCCTCCCCACCGCCCCCCTCCCTCCTCTCACAGGCCGCCCCTTTCCTGGAAGATGCCCAGATGATGCCTCTCATGGTGGACCCGCAACTGGGCGGCTACTTCAACCAATCAGAGCTCATCGAGCTCGGCACCATCGCGCGCGACTGCGTGCAAGAAGACGCGTCCAGCCGCCCGACCATGCGCGAGGTGCTCCAAACCATGGAGGAGCGACTCCGCCTCGACGCCCACCTCTTTGACAACCTTAACGAGGACGATGCTCTGCTGGTCGATGGGTACTCTGCGGCGGTTCCCGCTGCTGTGACTGCCAGCGGGAGGCGGTCGGGGGTCGGGTTTGGAAGCCTGCGGCTGAGTGTGGGGGGAGGGGGGACGAGTTCGGGGAGGGGTGGGGAGAGTGGGCGGTGGGGGGCAAGTGTGGAGAGTTTTGCGCAGTCGATCAAGTATGTGCTGATGAGTCCAGGGCGGGCTGGGAGTGGGAGGGGCGGGGCGGGTGGTTTGCCGGTTGATGACCCCCATGACCTCGAGATGTCATCTCTTCTTGTCATGAACGCAGCTGATGCGAGGCGGTAGAGGCCTACCAGGTGGACCGAGGAGAGGGGAATAATAAGGGGGGAGGAGAGGGAAGCAGGGAGGGGGAAGTGGGAGCAGGGGAGAGGGAAGGGGGGGCAGGGAGAGTGGGCGGTGGGGGGCAAGTCTGGAGTCGAGTCGATCCCCCATGACCTGGAGATGTCGTCTCTTTTCGTGATGAATGCAGCTGATGCAAGGAGATATAGGCGAGTGGAATTGGATGGAAAGTGGGGCGAGAAAAAGCGAATAGGAGCAAGATCAAGGGAGCAGAGAGGTAGTCAGGATGGAAGGAAGGGGAGCAGTATTAGGGGCAGTGCTCGGCTCGGCTACCTTCGTTTCTGCTGGGGTGCTTAGGAATAATTTCGATGGCCTAGAAACGGTTACTGCTGCAGAATCTCAGGAGTGGGAGCAGTGGTTAGCTGAGAATGATCCTCCCTAAGAGGTGGAGTGGAGATGCCTCGTCTTGAGGCGCCTCAGATGACATGAGGTTGTGTCATGCCCCATGACATGACTGCCCCCTCCCTCCGCTCCCCCCCGGGGGTTGGAATGGAGATGCCTGCTTTCGGTGCATCTCACAAATATCATCTACTTTCTCTTGTGTGACGTGTCCATGGGGGCCCATGGCTGGACCCCTTATGGTGGCGATGGCTTCGACACAAGGGGATGGAGGCAAGCGCGATTGAAAGATTATGGGTCAAGATGACATCTCAGAATTACAAGGAGGGTAGCTTCGCAAGAGAGAAAGAGCTTGCGTAATATCAACTCTAGTTGTTCCATTGACCAGGGGCACACAGCAGCCAAGCATTGATCGGTGTAGGAATAAGCAGCTGTGAAGCATGCACATTGCTGGTATCATTAGTATTGACTAATTATGTTCTGGTAGAGTGCTACCTATAGCGTAATAGTAGAACGTTCTACGAGTGTCAAAATTGTCTGGAAGAAACTAACTTGAAACAAGTGAAGCTGGCTGCTTTGGAACCATTAATCTGACACATCAGAAATCAGATTCCTGACTCTTTCAATTGATCGGTTGGACGGACAGCAGCCGCAACTCGGAACCTTTTTGTTTTACTTTTAGCAGTGCGTTTGCAAGCAAGCCTGTCCTTGCCCTTCCGATATCCTGGGGCATTTGTTACTGTGCATGATGGGATGGGATGGGAACAGGGGAGTCACAGGCGCCGCCTGCATGTAAGTCCACGGAGTGAGCTCTGTCTTATTGCTTCACCGGACTCACTCTCACTCCCTCATTCGTGAATTCAGATGTGATGACGGGGCGGTGGGGGGGGGGAGGGGAGGGGGGGAGGGAGATGAGGGAGATGGGAACATGGGAGTCACAGGCACCATCTGCATCCAAGTCCATGGAGTGAGCTGTGTCTTGTTGCTTTACAAGGCTCACTCTCAATCCCTCAGTCGTGATTTTAGGTTCCTCTGAAACATCTGTGCGTGTTGGGTTGGGAGTCATGGTTGCAAGGGGTGATGAGGGGGCGGTGGGCGGGGAGGGGAGAGGGGGGGAGGGAGATGAGGGGTGCGTGGGGGGTGGGGGAAGAGGAGGGGAGGGGGAGAGGGCTGGAATGAGGGGTGAGCGGAGGGGAGATGGAGAGGGGGGGTGTGCAAAAAAAAGGAGCAAGTGCACGGGGGAAGATAAGCGATGCACGCAGGGGAGTGCAGGGAGAGGGGGGGAAGAGGAAGGAGAGAGGGGGTGAGAGGAGGGGAGAGCGGGGTAGATGAGGGGAGAGTGGGGATAGAGGAGACAGCTTGGGTGTCACGAAGGGAGAGAGGTGGGAATAAGGGATGCGTGACGTTTCTACGCAAAGTCAGGGGAAGTGGGGGTATGTGGAGGAAAGCGAAGGGAGGGAAAAGGGAAAAATAAGGAGAAATAGGCCACTCCGCCTGTCACTCTCGCCAGTCCTCTCCTTTCTGATTCCCCTTAAGCGCCGCAATAAGGACTTTCGCCCGTCCATTCCCCCTCCCTCCGCTCGCTTACCTCTCATCTCCCTCCCGGCATCCCTTTCTCCACTGTCGCGCAACGATCAGCGGTCGTATCTATGCGTTTGCACGATATGTCTCCCTGAATAAACATTACAAATGTCTCCGCTTTTATATATATATATATTTTGACTAAAAACGGCCTCTATAAATAAATGTTTCGAATGTGACCGCAAATCGACGCTGATACTCCAGGCGTAGATGCGTTACAAAAATCGTCAAGTCTTACAAAAACTGGCTCAAATCTGGAGAGAGCAAATAACAGTAACTTCCTACGATTTGGCAGTAGTTACCGCACTAGATGTGTGAAGCGTAGAATACGGAAGTACGACTGAAAGCGCTATCGAAACTAGCTACGGTGCTGAGATCTAACTTGAAGCTACCGTGAACAAGACCTGAGGCTCCACATTCTAGTAACTAACTCTGATTCAGCGAGAACAAATAAGCGACAGTAAGAAAATGAACGGTAGGTTATGCTCGCTGACGGGAGGACTAATGTTCGCTACCTAGATCTGACAGAACTAGCTAAGAACAGTGAACTGGAATATGGAGGGAGAGACCAAGCTAAGAATTAGGTATGGCAGGTGGAAATAGGAATTGAGAGGTTGGAGAAAGGAAATGTGAGATTGGGTATGCCTCGGTGTTTGCGGAAGGGTGCCAGAAATATTCCGTGCTGCCGTGGAAACACACTTCATTGCTATTGGCTTGCGAAATGCCTTCACGATCACATTTGTATTTTCAGCTGCCCAGGTAAGGTTCGTAGGGGCAAATTAATTTGCGCAAACAGCCTAAACTTTCCGCGCCACGCAGGAAAGTCCTAACTATCCCTCCGCCGTCCCGCACCTTACGCCAAACTCAGGCAAAAAACTCGATATAATTTAGAAAAGCGCCACGTCCACTACCTCTTAGAAAGTTTAAGCCTGCCCTAGCACAAACCCACAGCCCTCAACCAACCTCTCCAACACAATACGCGCCCTCAGCAGATTCGTTTGCAGAAAGAGCAAACACAAACCAGAATTTAAAAATCAGCCAGTTTGTGAAAGAGGTGTACAGCTTGGGCTGGTTGGGGTCGGTTCAGAAGTTTGGGCCGCCTCACATTGCCAACCCATGCGACTCGGGCTGTTTTGTGAAGCCGCCAAAGCTGTCAATGCAACTTCTAGGCGGGGATTTTGAATTCGCCACTGTGGATTGACCCATCCTGACAGGGATTACTTTCAGCCACTTCTTACTGCGTTGACCCATCACATTTGGGTTGGAACAGCACTGTTTCGCGCCGTGGCGCCGCTAAACAACAGGCTCCCAGGTTTTCGTTGAATTGAATTCGTTCATCCGCGGCACCGAACCATACTTCATCCTCCTCGCTCTCACTTCTGCTCTGTAAAGTCCCATTCATGGCCCAGTTTTTTCCTTCGCGAATTCAATCAAGGAATTCCAGTGAAGCTCCAACTTACTGAACTCTTTTTGGACTTCCGACTTACCTCGGAGCATACCAAAGCTATCTGAGCCACCCGGCTAGTAAATGGGGAAAGCCTAGGCATGAAGCAGCGTGAGGTCGCGTAGATTAGAGTCTCGTGTAGATTAGCGTGGATGGGGTGGGTTGGGTAGATTAGAGTCGAGTCTGAGCGAGCTGCCAAGTGCCTAAGGCTGAACCATTTACAAAACCGGGTTTTCGCGGAAATATTTTCACCTCGACGAATACAAGATATCACCGCAACATCTGCATGGCGGGATCTTCTCTGCCAAACACTTCCACGGCGATATCTTCACAGCGAGATCTTGATGGCGAAATCACTCCGCTCCAAGATCGCTGCTGCAAGAGCTTCAAGAGCTTCAGGTGTCGCATGGAGCCTCCCCTGCTGGCGCGGCCTTCCTCTTTGCTGCCGTCAAGACAAGTCTCACCAGACGGTATGTCCTTTTTTCTTTTCAACTTCATGCTGCAACTATTTTTATCAGGTTAAGCTTTAATTTATTCAACATTGTTCAGCTGCTAATCTGTTATTTTCCTCCCGCAGACCTCTTGCAACCAACTTCGCGAGACTCGCAGCGTCGACAATGAGACTTGAGCCGTCTACGACACCCGGTTTTCATGAAGCTCTTCACCTGCAAGATCTTCAAGGCAAGATCTTCACTCCAGGATCTTTACGCCAAGATCTTCACTTCAAGGTCTTCACCCGCTAGATCTTCACCAGCACGAAGACCACCCAGCTAGACGGAGAGGGTAAGTCCATTATTTTCAACTTCTTGCTGCAACCGATTTTGACAAGTTAAGCTCTGATTGTTTCAACATAGTTCAAGTCCTAATTTGTTTTTTTCCTCCCGCAGACCTCTTGAAGTGCCAACGCCAATACTTGAAGCGTGGACGCTAACGCTTGAGCCTTCTACAAGACGCGGTTTCACCGCGACACGGCGACAATTTCAGGCTCAGATCTGACCCAATCTTCCAACCAACACGAGGACAGCGGACTGGAGGTAAGTGCAAACTTATTTCAACTTGTTCCTGAAACCGTTTTTCGCCGGTTAAGCTTCTATGTCGTTCAACATTTTTCAAGTACTGACCTGCTGCTTTCTTCCCGCAGACCTCGTGGCGACCGTCTTGACGAGTTTTGAAGTGCCGACACTCACACTTGAGCCGTCTACAACACCGCGACACGGCGACGATTTCAGGCTCAGACCTCAAGATCTGACCCAAGCTTCACGCCAACACGAAGACGGCCTACCCGACAGAGTCGGCGGACTCGAGGTAAGTGAACCACCGATCATTCGACTTCTGCAATCTCTTTCTGCAATTTCTTTTAACGTGTTTCCGAGCATATCTCTAACTCGCTCTACGTTTTCTGCAGACGACCTTCTAGTCGCTATCAATCGCGGGGGGTAGCACTTTAAACTCAAAGACCTGAAGCCCAAGTCCACCTGGACTGCGGGAGGCGCTTCAGACCCCAAATCAAGCCAGACGCGGATAGGAGCTTCGACCGCCGCTAGCGCTTCGACCTAAAAGCTCAATCTTGGAGCTTTCGACCTGAAAGCCGGAGCCTCGCCAACTATCGTCGCCGATGGCGCTTCGACCGTCGCCAACGGGTCCTTGCCGTTGGGGTTGGGGTAACTTTGCTTCGTCTTCTTAATTGACTAGATCCAGATTCAGCTCTACGTTTCCTAATTTCTCTGAAACGTTCAGCTCTAACTTTTTCTTTTCTTCCTGCAGACCATCCTTGCGACCATCTTGGCGACGCGAAGACTTATCAACCGCGGCGTTCGCTTCAATTGCGCTGGAGCCGCGGAGGCTTCAACCGCGGAGGCTTCAATCGCGGAGGCTTCAGCCGCGAAGACTTATCCAAGCGAGCGTCAAGTGTGGAGGTAAAAACTACCTCTTCTTCATATCAGCTCAAAACCGCTCGACTTTTTTTTTTCAATCCATTTCTCCTTCTAACGCGCTCTTCTTGCCTTTCTGCAGACAACCTTCTTATCAAGCTAAACGGCGTTTCTGGTCGGGGAGGCGCTTCGGCGGCACGTCAATACCGGATGAGAGCTTCTATCTACCGTCGTTGGCGCTTCTATTGCGCTTCAAGCTTGGGACGGGACGCGCTCAAGCCCAAGTGATGATCGCCGTTACCACGCGCAAGTCGCGAGGCCTCGCCAACGGATCCGTGTCGTCCTTGTCGTTACCATCGCCGTTGGCGCAAGTCGCGGATGCAAGTCGCGAGGCCTCGCGGACGTGCCGGGAAACGCCGACGAGATTTGCGTCATCGAGATGCGAAGAGATGAAGCGTTCGCCGTTCGGTTAGACGTTGCGGTAAAGATTGTAACTTCCCGCTGTGCTGCCTCTCCCGTTGTGAAGTTAACTTCTCGTCATTCTCGCTTTATTTTCTCATTACTAAAGTGCTGCCTTTGTCCCTGCAGAACTCGGCGACCGTCTTGGCGGAATAAGACGAAGACTCTACCACCGTTGGAGGAGAGGTGTCTACTGCCGTCAGCGAGGCGACGGCGAGGAGGACTCTACCGTCGCGAGGGAACGGCGGCGGCCTACCCAGCAGCTTCTCTCGAACCGAGGTAACGCGCTAAGGACCCTTCATGCAGTTTAGTGGCAATTCAGTTTACATGATTTTAAATAGCACGTTCTAACTTGTTCGTTTGCTTCCTGCAGAAACATATGGTGACGGAATACCACATGGCGACGGGCGGGACTCACGGCGCTTGGCTGCGACGATTGGCGTGTCTCACTCTACGTCGCAAGCGGACGGCGACGTCGCGAGCGGACGGCGACGTCGCAAGCGGACGGCATCGATGGCGTGTCTCACTTCGTCTGTCGCCGACGGTAGCGGATCTCTCCGATTCGCTACTAGTAGCGCCTCGCGCGAGCTGAGGTAACGTGCGAGGACATTTCCTGCAGTTTTCTCTCGTTCTCCTTCCCAACGATTTCGTTTCGTTCGTACTGACGGCTCTTATTCGCACTTGCAGAGGCACGGGACGGTCCGTCGGTGGCGACGCATGGGGACGCGCTGCGTGGCGTTGCATGGCGACGAATGGCGCACGGCGTGTCTCGCGGCGAAGACGGGACTCACGGGCCGCGAAGGCGTGTCTCACGGGCCAATGCGCGTCTCACGGGCGAAGGCGTGACCCGCAGGCGAAGGCGCGGGTCTCACGGCGCTCGGCGGCGCTGCGCGGTGTAACATTTCTTTTTCGTCTCGTCGTCGCATCTCGTCGTCTCGCCGTCGCATTTCGTTTCGTCTTCTCTCGTTTCGTTTCGTTTCGCGCTCGTCTACTCTCTGCCGTGATGCCGTGACGTGTGGGATCGCCATGTGTGAGCAGTGATTCAAGCAAGACAAGTCTGCGGGGTTGTGCGAGCGGGGTTGGGGCAGGGCGGCGGCGGAGGGGGAAGGGTAGCCCCAGCCCGTTCCTCTCCGCCCCCCCTCCCGCTCCACTGCCCCATCCGGCGACAGCGACTACACCGACCGTCAACGACCGTCAACGACCTCCTACAGCAACGACTACAACGGTAAAAGCCCGAGCGGCTTTCATGGTAAGCACCGTCTTATTTCGTTAAGTTATTCCTTTGTTTGTGAGACTAACTTCTTTCTGTCTGTTCCTTTCTCTTAGCGCAGCGGAAGCGGGAGTGGGGACTCGCGGGGACGGCGGCGAGCAAGGTAACGGGGGGAGGTTCTCTCCCTTGCCTGGTAAGTGCAGTCTAATTCCGTTTAAGCTTTTTCCTTGATTATGAAACTAATTTCTATCTTTGTGTTCCTTTCTCTTAACGCAGCGGAAGCGGGAGTGGGGACTCGCGGGGACGGCGGCGAGCAAGGTAACGGGGGGGAGGTTCTCTCCCTTGCCTGGTAAGTGCAGTCTAATTCCGTTTAAAACCGGGGTGCACATTCAGCTGAATGTGCATCAAAGGTTATCCCTTGACTGAGTGGGTTACGAGGTGTGCTTTCAACCCCTTCAAGTCGAAATTCGTTTCCCCCCTCCCCCGCAATTTCGTTTCCCCACGCCCCCGCAATTTCATTTCCCCCTCCCCGTCGAAATTCGTTTCCCCCCTCCCCCGCAATTTTGTTTCCCCCCTCCCCCGCGATTTCGTTTCCCCCCCCTCCCGCCAATCTGTTTCATCCCTCCCGCCATTCGGTTTCACCCACTCCCGCCATTTCACCCCCTCCCGCCACCTACGAAATGCCCGAAGCTCTAGCGGAATCATTTTTTTGTCGCCCCTCGTGAGCCAATCACTGTTTTTCTCCAAACCCCCTTCCCAACATCTCAAGCCGAACCGCGTTGAATGTGCACCCTGGTTTTAAGCTTTTTCCTTGATTATGAAACAAATTTCTATCTTTGTGTTCCTTTCTCTTAGCGCAGCGGAAGCGGGAGTGGGGACTCGCGGGGACGGCGGCGAGCAAGGTAACGGGGGGAGGTTCTCTCCCTTGCCTGGTAAGTGCAGTCTAATTCCGTTTAAGCTTTTTCCTTGATTATGAAACTAATTTCTATCTTTGTGTTCCTTTCTCTTAACGCAGCGGAAGCGGGAGTGGGGACTCGCGGGGACGGCGGCGAGCAAGGTAACGGGGGGGAGGTTCTCTCCCTTGCCTGGTAAGTGCAGTCTAATTCCGTTTAAGCTTTTTCCTTGATTATGAAACTAATTTCTATCTTTGTGTTCCTTTCTCTTAGCGCAGCGGAAGCGGGAGTGGGGACTCGCGGGGACGGCGGCGAGCAAGGTAACGGGGGGGAGGTTTTCTCCCTTGCCTGGTAAGTGCAGTCTAATTCCGTTTAAGCTTTTTCCTTGATTATGAAACTAATTTCTATCTGTGTGTTCCTTTCTCTTAGCGCAGCGGAAGCGGGTGGGAGGGAACTCGTGTCGACGCTTCTTCCGGGACGCCTCACGGGCGCGCGGCGGCGCATCGCGGCGCGGCGCGTCGGAGCACGGCGCTTGGCGGCGCTTCTCTCTGCTGTTCGTCCCGTCGTCGCCTTTCTGCTCGTCAATTTCCGCTCCTCTCCGCCTTGGTGCCGTGACGTGTGGCATCGCCATGTGTGGGCAGTGTTTCAAGAACTCAAGCAAGACAAGAAGCGTCGGGGTTGTGCGAGCGGGGCGGCGGAGGGGGAAGGGTAGCCCCAGCCCATTCCCTCTCCGCCCACCTCCCTCTGCACTGCCCCATCCGGCGGCAACGACTACACCGAAGTTCCACTTTAACGGTAAAAGCCCCGGCGGCTTGCTTCCTCAAGGTAAGAATTGTCTCATCTCGTTTTGCTGCTTCCTTTTCCGGATATCTAACTCCTTTTGTCGTGTTCCTCTTAGTGCAGTAGGAGGAGCAGGCAATACGGCAGCAACTACAGCGAGTGAGGGAGGTAAAGGAGAGCTAGCTCTCCCTCTCCTCTTCTCTGGTAAGTTCCGTCAATTTCATTAAGTTTTTTCTTCATTTCGGAAACTAACCTTTTCTGTCTGTTGCTCTCTCTTAGCGCAGCGGCAGAGGCGGGTGGGAGCTCGCGGGGACAACGGCGAGCAAAGGACGTAACACGGGGAGGTGGTCTCCCTTGCCTGGTAAGTTTCGTCGATTTCATTGTTTTTCTCCTTTTCAAAGTATCTAACTTATTTTTGTGTGCGTTCTTCTTTAGCGCAGGCGATGCGCGGATGGGAGCTCGCGGGCCGCGTGGCGACGCTTCTTCGGGGACGTCTTACGCGCGCGCGGCGGGGCATCGGCGGAGCACGGCGCACCGCGGCGCACGGTGCGTGCAGGCACTTCTCTCTGCTGTAAATGGTCTCTTTCGTCCCGTCGTCAAATTTTCGCTCGTCGCATTTCTGCTCGTCGCCTTTCTGCTCGTCGACTTCGCTGTCGCCTTTCGCGCTGCTCTCTGCCGTTTCGCTTTCAAAATATCTGAAGTCCTTTTTGTTGTCGTCTGTGGTGCAGGCGTCTCGAGGAGGCTTCACAAACGTTGATTGCGGAGCGAGGAGGTGGCTGGAGCGAGGAGTTGGAGCGAGGTCGGAGGAGTTTGACTTCCCCTCGCATCCCGCCCTTTTCTGCAAAGCAGATTTGGCGGGAACGGGATCAACCACCGTGAGCGTCAGGCCTGTAAGAGGTGTGGTGCTAGGTACAGGACGATTAGGAGCGTTAGCCTAGGCACTCGATTTAGGCACACACATGGGCGATAGTATGGGTTCAGGTGTGTTCAGGTATGCCTCATGACGGCTGGTCGTCCTCTTGACGGCTGGCCGTCATTCTGACAACATTCTGACATACGTCCGATCCAAGATGTTTATTTGTTTATCTGCCCGTTTCTAATTTTGACCGTTCCCCCCCTCCCAAGCACTTTCCCCCTCTCCCTCCCTCCCTCCCAAGCAGACCCCACGCGAATGACCCTCACCTCATCGAGGTGCGTGGGTGTAACGTCAGGGGCATTTGCCTCTGACGGCCAAGAGGGGTCAAGAAGACGGCCAAGCTGCTGCCGTGGAGGCGCAAGTGGATCAAGCTGATCGCTCAAGATGCTCTGGAGGCGCTGCTACGGAGTCGCTGCTATGGAGTTGCAAGTGCAGCTGTTACACCTAGCTTCGGCAGCTTTAGAAAGCTTAGCTTAGAAACCTCTCGGTTCTGACTTGTAACTCTTTATATTAGTATAAAACTCTCTGAAGTCCTTGTACTGTTAACAACTTAAATAGGTAGGTGAAGCATATGGCTGAATTAGCTACTGAAATAGCCAAATCGCTATAATATGCAAATAAAGCTGTTCGAAGTTCGATAATCCATACTCCATAGTTTGAGGTTCGACGGAGGTCATTTCATGGACGGTGATCGTGGATCACGCATTCGTAGAAGCTCGTTCCATTGTTCAGGAGAGGTGTAGGATGATGCGCAGCTATCAGTGCAACTGATAGTAACAATTAACGCCAGCAACGATCAGCAACTATCAACGGGCGTGTTACATTTTCTAACAGCGGCTAAAATCCGGACAACCGTCCGAGAACGGTTCAGATTCCGAATCTCGGGCAGTCCGGGTCCAACGTCCAGACTAAACCTCGTCCGACGTTGTTTATGAAACATTTTCAACCTGACGAAATCCAGAGTGTTCGCTAGGTTGTAACCATGATCACGACGAAATTGCGACAAAGGTAACACTCAAGCGACTGAAAGACTCGAATCGTAGACCAATAAAAATGCTTTACTGTTACGTCCGTCCACTTATCGAACTGTAATCGTCCGGTCGAGTTGGGAAGGCAATTCACGCAAAATGTTCCATCATCGGTCCGATCGTTAACGACGTCGCAAGTGGTCTAGCGAGGAAACTGACGAAGATAAACGACAACGGTAACCGCTAAAAAGTCCGGACGACTGCTCATCCGGACGGGCTGAAGTAAAAAATGTAAAAAATGTAACACGCCCTTAGTGATCAGCGCAACAACCAGCGCAACGATCCGCGAAATGTCTGGCGCAACCGTCAGCTCAGCAATAAGCGCAACGATCAGCGTAATCGCCTAACGATCAGTGCAACTGTCAGCTCAAAGATTCGCGCACGATAGACCATCGTTTCCTCCTAGATTGCTTTCCGAATTGTTACCCGTTTGCGAATTGTTACCCGGAAGTTCTCCACTTCGTATGGCTCGCCATCTTAGCTGTCGACCTCATCGACGTTCTGAATCTCGACGAAACCCCATCGCGCTGACCCCATCGCTGACCTCATCGCTGACGTACCTCCCTGTACCTCCCGCCCGTACCTCCCTCCCGTACCTCCCGCCCGTACCTCCCTCCCGTACCTCCCGCCCGTACGTGCCTGCCTTGGCAGAACAACGAAGGCATGGTGCTGGTGGGACTCGCGGGCCCGTCTGGCGCCGGGGGCTGAGGGAGGGGCGCACAGTGCAGGTGCCAATCTATGACTTGAAGAGCAGCACGCGCGTGGGGTTCAGGTGAGGGGGAATTCAAGGGGAGGAGGAAGTGGGAGGGGTGCATGTGAGAGGCGCACGGTTCAGGTGCCGATCCACGACTTCGAGCAGCACGCGCGTGGGGTTCAGGTGAGGGGGACGAGGAAGAGAAGGTGAGGAGGAAGTGAAAGATGGGTGCATACATACATGCGAGTGTGAGATAGGGGCAGGATCCCCGGAACAGGGGGCACAGTGCAGGTGCAGATTTACGACTTCAAGTGCGCCGCGTGTGGGGATTAGGTGAGGGGGAAGTGAGGTAGGTGCAGGCTCTCTGGGATGGGACAGGGTCGCACGCACAGTGCAGGTGCCGATATACAACTTCAAGTGCAGCACACGAGTGGGGTTCAGGTGCGGGGAAAGAGAAGGTGAGGAAGAAGAGAGAGATGGGTGCATGCATCTGAGTGTGAGGCGGGGTAACGCTCCCTGGGACAGCGGTGCACCGTGCAGGTGCCTATGTATGACTTCAAGTGCAGCACGCGAGTGGGTTTCAGGTGAGAGGAATTGAGAGATGAGTGCATACATGTGAGTGTGAGTCCGTGAGATGAGATAGGTGCCGGCTCCCTGCGATGGACAGGGTCGCACGCACAGTGCAGGTGCTGACATGCGACTTCAAGTGCGGCACGCGAGTGGGGTTCAGGTGCGGAAGAAGAGATTTTGAGGAGGAAGTGAGAGAGGGGTGCTTGCAAGTGAGGTGGAGGCAGGCTCCCTGGGACAGGGTTGAAGGGGACAGCTCCTTCCGTAAACCATTGCACACCCGTTCTGTCTCATCTCCTTCTAGTCTAGCCCTTCTCATTGAAGTGAAGGCTCTGAAACATCACATGCTGTAGCTCTTTCTTGCCCAACCTCGCCCCACTCCTCTCCACACCATTTCACTCCACTCCCTCCCTCGCAGAGAAGTGAACGTGCCCAAGTCGCGCATGGTGAGTATAGAGGGCATATACGCTCTCAGCAGCCAAGATGGTTGAGGAGGCGGAGAAATACGCAGCGGAGGACAAGGAGAAGAGAGAGGCTGTGGATGTGAAGAACCAGGCTGACTCCATGATCTACCAGACGGAGAAGCAGCTCAAGGAGCTTGCCGAGAAGGTTCCTGCGGAGGTGATAACATCCTGGCGATTAAGACCTGTGGCGGATGGGAGATGTAAAGGTGCTTGAGCGTGAGGGTGTGAGGTGATGTGTGTGGTGCCATGGTGTGTTAATGGGGGGAGTGACGGGAAGGTTTGCGGTTAGGAACTTTTGACTGAGAATTGAGCATGGGATGAATATGCCAAAGATGACTAGGGCGGATGAGTCTGGGCGGATGAGTCTGGGCGGATGAGTCTGGGTGCCTACTTCGTGTGCTTAGTTGCCTGTCGCCTGATTCTCACTTAGAATGTGCTACTGTTGTTGTGTTGTGTGCCTCGTATCCCATGCAGCTTGGTCAAACGGTTTACTCTCAAGGAGGGGCCCCCGGTGCTGATGGTGCTGCTCCTGGCGCTGGTGCCGGTCCTACACCCGGCAGTGCTGCTGGCGGCAACCCCAATGATGTGATTGATCCCGATTTCACCGATTCGAAATGAGTGTAGCGAATGAGCTTAGAAATGCACAGGGATGTGGGGAATGGAGCAAGCAGTAGAGCCTAGTTTGCTGCTTGGGTTTGCACGTACCGCAGCACTTGTGTAGTGTAGTTCTTTTTGTTACTGTTGTTTTACTCACTCATGAATGCGCCAGGGATGTCCAGCCAGCTGTGATGTACCGAATTGAGATTTAAAAAACGAACCTCAAAAGGCACCACCTGAACGCCTTCTCTCCTCCCAAAAACAGAGCAATCACTGAGAAGAAAAAGCTGCTGGTTACAGAACAAGGCAAACTTCGAGGCGCATCACGCTCACAACAAGTGGGAATGAATGGCCTGCTGAGCAGGGTAACACTCTTCTGGAAAACTGATGACACATGTTGAAGCTAGAAGCTCAAAGTTGGAAGCTGAAAGACGTGGAAGGTCAGTGTTCTATACAGGTGTTGCGACTCTTGGGTGCCCCTAAACCAGTAGGGGTACCACCAAACACCCCTACCACATACCCGATGCTTCTGGAAGAAGCAGCAGAGACATCTAGGGAACTATTGATGTCCATTACAGCCCGAGAAGAATCCCCTCGGTAAGTACCGGTACCAATTTCGCTAGCAGCGCTCACTAATGCCCCAGAACCCCCTTGGTGGTAAGTTCCGATTTCCGACAGATTATCCAACCGTTGGATCGACTCGGCCCGCCTGTCGAGCTCCTGGTCGATCTGAGCCACACGATGGTCCACGTCAGCAAGATCGGCTCCACCAGCACCACCATCCTCCACGTGGCTCCTGCTCAGGTGTTCCCTTTTTAGGGTTTCGAGTTGCCGTACAACGTCGGAAATTGATGGGCGGGAGGAGGGTGGGAGGGCGGTGCACTCTAGGCCGATTCTGTCGAGGGAGAGGAGAAGGTCGCTGGAAGCTTCCGGAAGACGGGGGTCCTTGAATGCTGCCACGTCGTTCTCCTCGACAAAGGGGCGAATCTGCGTGGGGAGAGGGTTGGGAATGGAAGAAAAGGGCGGGATTAGAAGGAGGTGCAGGTAAGGGGGTCTGCAGGAGCACTTGTCTCATCGACGAATGAGCAAATCTGCAAGAACCTGCTGAGGCAAGAGGGACAGGACAGCAAGAACCAAGGAGGTGCAAACAAAAGGCTGTTGTCTAGAACCAGCAAGGGGTTGTTGGCCTCCTCCATCAAGGCGAATTTTGAGGTGCTTCAAAACCGTCTATTGTGTCGGGGTTTTGAGGCGCCTCAAAACTCTTCTACAGAAAAACACTCCTAAAATCAGAAAGAAAATAGGAATAGGAAAAAAAAAAACTTGAAACCCGTTTCAAATTCGAGGCACGTGAAAGAACGTTGCAGTACCCCGCATCCACTTACCCAGTCTTTGATGTTGTACTCGTTGCCATCCACAGAGAGGATCACAGGAATCGTTGTAATCACCTCCAGCAGCATCACACCATAACTGCACAAACGGCAAGAACAAAAGGAGTGCTCAAGAAAAGTTAGGATGGAAGTGTTGCTTGTTTGATGAGAGAAGCACATCCAGAGACAAACCAGTTCATGAGAAAACGAATCACTCTTTCATGGAAGTGTATAAAGGACCACTCTTTCTTGGAAAGGGCAACGCACCTATGAACGTCAGCCATGGGCGTGGCCTTGTTGGTGCGCGAGTAAGCGGGGTCCACATAGCCCGGAGTGCCGACCACTCGGGTGGGATTCACTGTGGTGCCTTCTGTCATGCGCACCAACCCGAAATCCGACACCTTCGCCTGTGTTAGGGGGCGGTGGGTAGAGGGATGATTTGAGAAGTCACATCAATTCTGTCATGCGCTCCAGGCCAGATTCTCATACCGTCGCCCGGTGTGGAAGAAAGGAGAACGGAATGAGGGACAAAACGGCATGCCGTCATTTGTGTGGTAAAGACATGAATATTTAAACGGTTCAGACATGAACGGCATGAAGTCTCCGTCTTTTAAGAATTCTCAAAAGTCGTCAACTCCACGAACGCTCCAGTCAGGGAGCTCCAGTCAGTGAGCTCCAGTCAGTGAGCTCCAGTCAGTGAGCTCCAGTCAGCGAGCTCCACTCAGTGAGCTCCAGTCAGTGAGCTCCAGTCAGTGAGCTCCAGTCAGTGAGCTCCAGTCAGTGAGCTCCAGTCACTCCTTGAAGCACATTGTTGAACGCCTTGACTACCTCGTGCCAAGGTGCGTGTGTGTTTCTGACTGTAGGAGTTTCAATAGGCGCTGGCGCTGGCAGTGGAGGCGCACTCGAGCGAGAGTGCTGATGCAGCCGTGAAACACACCACCGATCGCCTTGACTACCTCGCCTCCAGGTGCGTGCTTGTTTGACCGTGGCCGCCTCAAAAGGCGCTGGCGCTGGCGCTGGCAGTGGAGTGGAGGTGCACAGCGTGTTCGATTCCGTGAAGCACACCACCGATAGCCTCGACTACCGTGTTCGTGTCCAGGTGAGCTATTCCACTCTCGATGATGGCGGACACAACATTCCGAGCACTTCCGCACCAGCCAACCACCGCCTGGGCTGCTCTCGACCACTCCGCTCGGCAGAGAAGATCAAACAGGACCATATGCGCTCACGTGTTCCCCTTGGTCTCTCTCTCACACACTCCTCTCTCTCCCCCCTTGTCGCCTCCCAGCCGCCCTACTGCAGTGAACCTGTCGGACGCAGCAGAGAAGCTAAAGAAGGTGGCAGAGGACGCAGCCAAGGGGAACCCACAGCTGAGGCGGTTGTGCTGGTGAGCTCAAGTAGTGCTGGTGGTAATGGTAACGGTGCAGTGGTGGTACTGGTAACGGTGCAGTGGTGGTAATGGTAACGGTGCAGTGGTGGTAATGGTAACGGTGTAATGGTAACGGTGTAATGGTAACGGTGTAATGGTAACAGTGTAATGGTAACGGTCTAATGGTAACGGTCTAATGGTAACGGTCTAACAGTAACGGTGTAACGGTAACGGTCTAACGGTAACGGTGTAACGGTAACGGTGTAACGGTAACAGTCTAATGGTAACGGTCGAATGGTAACAATCTAACAGTAACGGTGTAACGGTACGGTGTAACAGTAACGGTGTAACGGTAACGGTGTAACGGTAATGGTCTAATGGTAACGGTCTAATGGTAATGGTGTAATGGAAACGGTGTAATGGTAACGGTGTAAATGGTAACGGTCTAATGGTAACGGTCTAATGGTAACGGTCTAATGGTAACGGTGTAATGGTAACGGTGTAATGGTAACGGTGTAACGGTAACGGTGTAATGGTAACGGTGTTATAGTAACGGTCTAATGGTAACGGGCTAATGGTAACGGTGTAATGGTAGCAGTCTAATGGTAACGGTGTAGTGGTAACGGCCTAATGGTAACGGTGTAATGGTAACGGTGTAATGGTAACGGTCTAACGGTAACGGTCTAACGGTAACGGTCTAACGGTAACGGTCTAACTGTAACGATGTAACGGTAACGGTGTAACGGTAACGGTGTAACGGTAACGGTGTAACGGTAACGGTGTAACGGTAACGGTGTAACGGTAACGGTGTAATGGGAACGGTCTAATGGGAACGGTCTAATGGCAACGGTCTAATGGCAACGTCTAATGGTAACGGTCTAATGGTAACGGTCTAATGGTAACGGTCTAATGGTAACGGTCGAATGGTAACGGTGTAATGGTAACGGTCTAATGGTAACGGTGTAATGGTAACGGATGGTAACGGTGTAATGGTAACGGTGTAATGGTAACGGTCTTATGGTAACGGTCTTATGGTAACGGTCTAAGGGTAACGGTCTAATGGTAACGGTCTAATGGTAACGGTGTAATGGTAACGGTCTTATGGTAACGGTCTAATGGTAACGGTGTAATGGTAACGGTGTAATGGTAACGGTCTAATGGTAACGGTGTAATGGTAACGGTGTAATGGTAACGGTCTGATGGTAACGGTCTGATGGTAACGGTGTAATGGTAACGGTGTAATGGTAACGGTGTAATGGTAACGGTGTAATGGTAACGGTGTAATGGTAAAGGTGTAATGGTAACGGTGTAATGGTAACGGTGTAATGGTAACGGTGTAATGGTAACGGTCTAATGGTAACGGTGTAATGGTAACGGTGTAATGGTAACGTTGTAATGGTAACGGTGTAATGGTAACGGTCTGATGGTAACGGTGTAATGGTAACGGGCTAATGGTAACGGTGTAATGGTAACGGTCTAATGGTAACGGTCTAATGGTAACGGTGTAATGGTAACGGTGTAATGGTAACGGTCTAATGGTAACGGTCTAATGGTAGCGGTGTAATGGTAACGGTCTAATGGTAACGGTGTAATGGTAACGGTGTAATGGTAACGGTGTAATGGTAACGGTGTAATGGTAACGGTGTAATGGTAACGGGCTAATGGTAACGGTGTAATGATAACGGTCTAATGGTAACGGTGTAATGGTAACGGTGTAATGGTAACGGTGTAATGGTAATGGTCTAATGGTAACGGTCTAATGGTAGCGGTGTAATGGTAACGGTCTAATGGTAACGGTGTAATGGTAACGGTGTAATGGTAACGGTCTTATGGTAACGGTGTAATGGTAACGGTGTAATGGTAACGGTCTAATGGTAACGGTCTAATGGTAACGGTCTAATGGTAACGGTGTAATGGTAACGGTGTAATGGTAAAGGTCTAATGGTAACGGTGTAATGGTAATGGTGTAATGGTAACGGTGTAATGGTAACGGGGTAATGGTAACGGTGTAATGGTAACGGTGTAATGGTAACGGCTGTCTCATGTTCCCTGCCCATCGCACCTGCATGCGGGCATCAAGCAGCACGTTGGCGGGCTTGATGTCTCTAACCCCCTGCACCACCCACCCCCCCTCATAACCGCACCAAACCACACTCAACCATCGCAACCCCCCCTCCCCTTCACAACCGCACTACACCGCACTCAACCATCGCACCCCTACACACACCTCACCTGCATGCGGGCATCGAGCAGCACGTTGGCGGGCTTGATGTCTCGAACCCCCG